CTGAAATTTCTCTTTGAAAATTGAAATATTGTTATTCTGCTTCAAATTCTCTTTCACATTCTTAAAATTCTTTTTGGATTTTGTATATATGTTCTATAGACATTGACATATCTCTCTTTTGCAGCTTAGAAAAAGCTATAAATTTCCTCCCAAATAGTTGGGTATCCTGTTTCTTTCGTCAAATATTTGAATGAATGTAGATTGTTGGAGTTCTTTACTTTTTTCTTGTTTAGAGTTTATTTTGTTATTTCCAATCCTTTGTATTTATTGTAATTTTTCATGTTTTTGCAGGGGCACCATTATATAAGTTGTGGATGTGTTAACTTTACGTATTGAGAGAATAATATGCTTTGGTTGAGCATATCCATTGATGTATTTCGTAAAGTTGTGCATTTGATCGTCTATTGCAGGGTTATTTTGTAGATCACTTTTTGTATAGATAACACTGAATTGTTCCTCCCTGAGCTCCTTCTTTCAATCAGCCATGGGTTCCAATCACTTTTTTATCATTTCCTGTAATATCTACATTAGCTGAAAAACTTCCTGTCCTCAAACACCATTTTGGTTTTGGTCTTCTGTTTTAGTCTTACTTTTTCTGCCCCTTTGTCAAGGAATCTAGATAGCTCATTAAATTTCCAGTTAAATAGTTCTTTCTGCAGTGAATATTCTCCGTTTAAGGTTCAGAAGTAGTTATGGTGTGCCAAGCTGCAACCCAGACAAGATTTCGGGCATTGAAACATGAGAATGGAATTGCAGGAAAACCAACAATTATTGTTAGAGTGATCGCATGCTTTCAACCTTTGCAGAATTGTCAGGTTTGTCAACTCAGTCTCTGCATCGTGGTTTTGCTTGTTGATTAACAATTGAATTATTTGAATCCCTCTGCTTGTTCCCCCTGAACTTGGCTCATTCACTACCGTTGATTAAACTTTTGGTTTTTTCTGTTCCAGGCCGAGTATTTTCGACAATTGCTTAAGCCTGTCACGTAGATTGAGTAGCATTTATTTCTCTTAAGCTGGACTCTTGCGAACTTCTTTTTCTCTTTGTTCCTGAAAGCATTTTGCAGATAACTCCCATAGCAAACTAGAGCACAACATTTTGAGGTAGTTCTTGCCCCATGCTTTTTAAGTTTATTCTCCTTATGTTATTTCAGTTGTTTCGAAATAGTTATATTTTGAAATATTGATTAGGTGGTTGTTCTGCGGTATGGTTGGGACTGATAACTCTCGGCTTGATTTTGAGCATTTTGCTTGGCAACTGCACAATCGTGATTCCATGAATGCACCAGTAGAGATCAAGCAACAGGAAAGCTTACAAAGGAATATCAACTGTGGAAATTGCATACTTCCCACATGTGTGGGAGGAATGCAAGGGTTTGCAATTCCACCATTACCCAGTTTTAAAGTGGAACAGCTAAATGTTGTTCAGGAGTCACGTCAATGCTTACCCCCTCATTTCCAGAACTCACTTGGTACTCCAATGCCTTGGCAGAAAGGAAAGGAATCTATGCATTATGCTCATGCTGGACCTAGTGGGATGCCTGTGTCAAAATCAAATAATGGCTCATATCCGAAAGGTTTTCTTATCTTTGATCAATCTGGAAACCAGAAGAGATTGATGTATGCTCCTATGTGTCCTCCTGTCTATATTCCCTCAACTTTTGCTGAAACCAAGCGTTGTGGTTGGCTTGAAGAAGAAGGGGCAGCTGGAGACATTGATTCTGTCAAGTATTTTCCAAATACTCTGTCCAATGAGAATTATGTAGCTGATGGAGAGAGTGAAATGCATGAAAACACGGAAGAAATAGATGCATTACTTTACTCAGACTACGACTGTACTAGTTGTAGTAGTGATGATGAAGTGACTAGCACAGGACATTCTCCAGAGATGATCCATGAGCATTGTGAGAAGGAAGAACAATGTCAAGAAACTACTACCGAAGCTGCTAGTTCTAATGGCCCAAGAAAAAGGCAGAGAGTGCATGATGGGGGCTACGTAAAATCACTGCCAAGTACTACGGCTTCTTCTGCAAGAGTTGAATTACAGAAAATTGTCAATGACGCAGAATCTAGCTGTGGCATGGTCCATGAGGAAGAGGCTGGAACAGATGTTGATTTTTGCCATTCTTCTTGCAAGAAAGACAGGATCAAGGAGACGTTGAGAGTACTTGAGAGTTTAGTTCCTGATGCTAAGGGAAAGGACCCATTGTTGGTTATTGATGAAGCTATTGATTACTTGAAGTCCTTAAAACATGAAGCTAGCGCTCTAGGTGTGAGCTGCTATTAGATCGCATGCCCCAAATTTAGATGTTGATGGTGTGGTAACTTAAGAATTCTTATTTTGGATTTTGATGGATGCAAGATCAGTTTGTGATGGGTTAGCAAATGGAGGTATAATGTCTGGATAACATTGAACCCAGCCGGTAATGTGTGAATTATTGCCATTTTTATTCGTTGACAAGACATGATTATGTTTGATGCTTTTAAGGGACTAAAGATCAGGGGAAAGTCACAAAGATTTGAACGCATGGGATGTGATAGTGGTGGGTTATGCTGAGAAATTAAAGACCCCACCTTTTCCAGCAATTCGGAGAATCTCCCAGGATTGAGTGCATGCGCATTAGGTAACTGAGGTCCCACTTTCCACACTTTTTTCTTGATTATGTGCTATGTCTTTACCCTTATTACTCATTTATAGAGATTGTGCTGTAAAAGTGGAGCTTGTCCATTGTGGTGTTAGGTAGATCTTGCACGGTTCGAGTTTTGATTATGAGAGCACTATGAAACTTTTGACTGATATCAGCTTTGGAGATAGATTTTAGTTTTGCTATTAGGTGTTGCGTTGATGTAATAATTGAGGTGTGAATGCTTTTGTGAGTCTATCATGTTATATGTACTGCTTTCTCTATGCTTGTACTTGATCTAAGCCTTGAGAATACTGGCTGTATAATTATATTGTTGATGAATTATACAAAGCGAGATTGTTTGCTAAGTGCTTTCTGCAGTAGTTTGTCTCTGCAGTAGTTTGTCTTGTAACAAAATAATCCGATAGTTATTGAGCAGTTATCCCTTTGAAATGGATCAAACCTACCACTCGCAAGTATTGTCTTCTTTAGGTTTTCCCTTTTGGATTTCCCCTCTCTTTGGGTTTTCCTTTTGAATTTCTCCTCAAAGTTTAGAACAGTCTGCTAGGGAGAGGTTTCCACACCCTTGTAAGGAATGTTTTGTTCCCCTTTCCAATCGATGTGGGGTATCCTCGCTGGCACCCTGGTTGGTATCTGGCTCTGATACCATTTGTAACCGTCCAAGCCCACCACTAATAGATTTGTCCTCTTAAAACTTTTTCTTTTGAATTTCCCCTCTAGGTTTTAAAACACGTTGGTTAGGAAGAAGTTTCCATACCCTTATATGGAATGCTTCGTTCCCCTCTCCAACCGATATGGGATCTCACAAAAAGCCTCTTATTGCCGATCTTCTTCGTGGACATACACGTTCTCATCTTCCCAAGGCTCCTTCCATGATTTCAAATTTTTCTGTATAAATTTTCATTCATTAGGAAACCTCCAAACTACATGATTTAGAGAGACCTTGATGTCAGGGCATCCTTAAGCTTCTTAGCTAAACCCAAACCATTCACTTCCTCCCCACTGCAATCTATTTTGGCCCTGGTATGGTAAACTTGACAAGTTGCCTATCAGTTAACCAAGAGGACGTTGGACAAATTTGATTGATCTAATTTGCTTATTACTAGGGATATAGAGTGGGCAAATCTGGTTCTTCAATTTGAGCAAGTAACTTTTTTTCACCACACGCTCCCTCCTGGTTAATTATTCATTTCTTAAATATTTGGTTTGTGGTTATTCTAATATCACCACTTTCATATGTGAGATCCTTATGTTATAGTAGATGTCTGCTATCCTCAGTCAGTAAGCATCCATTTTCATCTTACAATCTCTCGATGTTTATCATATTCTTCTAAATGTGTCTTTTTCCTTTTCTGTCGTCCTCTCTCTCTACCATGTAGAGTTCGGAATAGGAAAGATGTTTTTGAATTGATACTCATTCAGATACGGTTCTTTTTGGGTTCTTCCTTTCAAGCTTGCCCTCAAGGTTTGTGGGCTTTTCGTTTTGGGCTTCCCCGTTACATTAGGGAAAAGTTTCCACTCTTATAAGCAATGTTTTGTTCTCCTCTCCAATCCTGTGGGATCTCACACCCAGACCAAACCAATAATTTCCATATAAAAGTCTGAAACTTAAACAACGAAAACAGTCGGAATTTATGAGAAGAAGAAGCCGTGTGGGGACTGGTTTCTTTATTTTTTGGTCCCTTTAAATACCCCTTGTGTTGACAGTTGAGGAGTGTGTGTATTGACCAAGTTTCAAGTCTTCTTTAACAGCCAAAACCTTACGAAATTCACCAACCATGAATCCAAATCAGCTCATTGATCAAGTTTCGTATTTTGATATGGTGTGTTCGTCTCTTCTTAACAAGAGATGAATCCGAGATGAATCCAAGAACAAGAGAAATTTTAATAATTTAATTTTTTCTTTAATTTGTCCATTTAATTAGAACCGAAATAATATAGAGACTTAAAATGTGAAATCATCCTTAGCCACGTCCAATTGGAAGATTTTCTCATCCCATTTCTACCTCATATTTCATTTTCCATCCCAATAAATTTATTCATTTATTCTCATCAGAATCAAGGTAAAAAATCTTTTCAAGTTCGCGAAATTGGGTTCCCCACAAGAATTAATTTCTGGTTGGTGGGTATCAAATTTTCCACGAGAATTTTTTGCCCCATTGCGTGGGATCAAATTTTCCACAATAATTTTTTTTCGTTCGTGGAGATCGGGTTATCCAAGTCATTTAATGATGGGATAACAAAATAAAATAAAAGTTTAATACGTCACAAAGAAAAGGTCAACTCGTCAAAAAGAAAAAGAATTTTAATAAATTCTTAGAAAAATAATAGTACACATATATACCTATCACTCATACTCCAAGGCATACTCCAAGGCACTCCAAAGCAACATGGTTGGAAATTTTCTTTTGTTTCTAATGCTCTTCTTTGGGATGAACATTTGCAGCGGCTCTGGAAATCCATCGGAAGTTCTTTGCATTGAGAGTGAGAGAGAGGCCCTTTTGAGATTCAAGAAAGGGCTTGTAGATCCTTTGAATCGTCTCTCGTCGTGGGATGTTAAACAAGATTGCTGCAAATGGGTTGGCATCAGTTGTGACAACTCGACCGGGTATGTCAAAGAGCTCATACTTGCAAATAATGAATTCTTGGAAGCTTACCAATTAAAGGGAAATGTAAGCGACTCTATCTTGAATTTGAAGCACTTAACTCACTTTGATCTTAGTAACAATGATTTTGAAGGAGTACGAATTCCAAGTTTTTTAGGATCAATGGTGAGTTTGCGTTATCTTAACCTCTCACGCGCAAGATTTAGTGGATTGATACCTCATGAACTGGGAAATCTATCAAACTTGAACCATCTTGGTTTGGGAGGTACCTACCCACCTCTATATACGGAAAATCTTGGATGGCTTCATGGTTTGCCTTCTCTATTGAAGCTAAATTTGATGCATGTAGACCTTAGTAACGCATCTTCTTGGTTACTAGACATAAATAAGCTTCCCTCGCTTCAAGAATTATATTTATGGAGGTGTAAACTTGTTGATTTTGCTCCTCTAGATCATGTCAATTTTGTTGAGATATGATTCAAAATGAAGATATGATTCAGAGTACTAGAGATATGATTCAAATATTCAAACTATGAGATTTTTAGGAGATTGTTAGTAGATTTAAATTCTTTCTAGATTTCGATGATTTACTATTTCTGGTCCAGTGTATAAGCTATAAATACTGGAATTGTGTAAGCCTCTAAGCATCGAGTCAGTAGACAATAATAAAGCATCGCAGCATTCATCTATTCTTATCTCTTTCACTATCCCTCTTTCCAACAAATTTCACTTCTCTCTCAGTTCTTGACATTTCGTCGAACAACTTCAAGTCTTTCCTACCCAAATGGATATCAAATCTCAGTAGTCTTGTTTCACTTGATCTAAGTCGTAATGATTTCCAAGGTCCAATTCCATGTGCTCTTCAAAACATGTCAGCCCTTTCATATCTTGACCTATCAAGCTCAGGTTTCAATTCTTCAACCATACCTAGTTGTCTCTACACTCTCCACAATCTTCAACATTTGACCCTTCGTAATCTTGGCTTAAATGGGGGAATCTCAAATAATATTGCCAACTTAACAAATCTTGTTTCGATCGACCTTTCCAACAATGAGCTGGATGGAAGAATACCAAGATTGATAGGAAACCTTTGCAATTTGGAAAAAATCAATCTTTCCAACAATAAACTTGCTGAAAATATATCAGAAATCTTTGAGAGCTTCTCTGGTTGTCTCATGGATAGTTTGATTTCATTGGATTTGTCGTATAATAAAATTTCAAGTCATTTGACGGATAAAATTGCAAAATTAAAAAATTTGTCAATCCTTGACCTTGCTAGAAACTCGATCACTGGTCCTATTCCAGAGTCCATAGGAAATTTATCTTCACTAACAACGTTAAACATTAACTACAATGAACTAAGCGGAACTCTTCCAAAGAGTATGGGATTCCTATCAAGTCTGCAAGTACTTACAGTATCTGATAATCACTTGGAAGGCATACTATCGGAGGATCACTTTGCAAATCTAGCAAATCTAGAGATTTTGGAAATGAATGACAATAATTTCACACTGAATTTTGCAACAGAATGGATTCCTCCTTTTAATCTCTATATGATAAGGCTGAGATCTTGCATCGTAGGCCCCCAATTCCCCAAATGGCTCAAATCCCAAAAAAAGTTAAGTTGGGTTGATCTCTCTAATGCTAAACTTTCAGACACCATTCCAGATTGGTTTTGGAGTTGGTCTTCACAGTGTATTTACCTGAATCTCTCTCACAACCAACTCTATGGAACACTTCCTCATATTCTTTTCACGGGTAATATCTCAATCATGGACCTTCGCTCCAATCTTTTCCATGGTTCATTGCCTCGTTTAGTATCCTCCCCTGCTCAGCTTGATCTTTCAAACAATTTCTTCTCTGGAAACATTACCCATTTCCTATGTCGTTCTCAGTTCTTAGGGATCTCTGTTCTTCATCTTGGTAACAATTTTTTATCAGGAAACATTCCAAACTGCTGGGAGAATTGGGAATCACTACAAGTTCTAAGCTTGGACAACAATAATTTGTCTGGCATGATACCAACCTCCATGGGGTCTCTAACCATATTAGTATCGTTGCATTTACGAAACAACAGCCTTTCCGGAGTGATTCCTCGGGCTCTTCAGAGTTGCTTGGAGTTGAGAGCTTTAGATCTCAGTCTAAATGCCTTCCATGGAAAAATACCAGCATGGATTGGGATGAGCCTATTGAAACTAATGACTCTCAACCTTGGGAACAATGAGATAAGTGGCCTAATCCCGAAGGAACTTTGTCATCTTTCATATCTTCAAATCATGGACATCAGCAATAACAACTTAAGTGGGTCTATACCTCATTGTTTTGGCAATTTTACGTCCATGGCTACCAAGAGGGACCTATCACAACGTTTTCATTTTATCTTTAACAAAGGCTACGCTATCGCGATTCTCGAGAATGCATATGTGAGAACTAAAGGAAGCGAGCTCTATTATGATACCATCTTGGCACTCATGACTAGCATCGACCTCTCTAACAACAACTTATCCGGAGAAATCCCTGAAGAAATCACCAACCTCTTTGCACTGAGGTCTCTCAATCTCTCAATAAACCATCTAAGAGGAACCATCCCAGACAGAATCGGAGGCATGAAGGATTTGGAGTCTCTTGATCTCTCAAGGAACCAACTCTGGGGACGAATACCACCGTCCATGTCGGAGTTATCGTTCCTAAGTTACTTGAATTTGTCTTACAATAACTTGTCGGGTCCAATTCCGACAGGTACTCAGCTCCAAAGGTTTACTCCGTTTAGCTTTATTGGCAATGAGCTGTGTGGAGATCCATTAAACAAGAGCTGCGGAATGGAGGGTGTCACCCCAAAATTTGGGAATGAAAATGGAAAAGAAAGTGAGGGAGGAAGTATTATTGATGGGTGGTTTTATCTGAGCATGGGAATTGGGTTTGTGTTTGGGTTTTGGGGGATTTGGGGTCCATTGTTACTCAGTAAGGCTTGGAGAGTAAAGTACTTCTTGTCTGTATGCCACAAACTCGCATAGCTCAGCGATGTGCTTCTTGTTCTCTCTTGTTCTGTTTTGTTCTTTACAACACATGTCATCAAGCTTCCAAATGCCCTGAAACTCAATGGAAAAAATGTATTTTTGGGCTTTAAGCCAAAGATGAGAAACATTATCACTATTCGAAATCGGTAAATCGAGACTCCAACAAAAAAAAATTTACAGGAAAAAAACTAGCTCGATTGAACATAACTCAACAGGTTAAAGCATATGACCTCAACTAAGAGGTCAAATTCCCACACTCACTTGTTTCTGATATCTTTTTATCAGTTGTTGTTGTCTAAAATATTATGCAGATTTTCACTGATGCCGGTTAATATGTTATTCGTTTTGGTGCTTCTGATCCTGTCTCGAAGACAAGCTCGAGCACTAATGGTTGATTTCCTTTCGTTGCCATTGGTGAGTAGATTTGAATTGCTGGACATACGAAGGCTTCTGGTAAATTCCCGAAGTGTAATAAGCATGTGGAAAAAGAATAAACATGACACCAAAAACAAGGATGTTTATACTACAAAATTTATGTTTAGAAATTGAAACTATATGTTTATGATGATTTCTTTTTAGCTTTGTCCCCACGTATATAGTTCATTCTTTTCTTGTCACATGTTAAATTATTATCTTTTAGACTAATCAATTCCAACAACTCAAGCTTACCAGATATTGTTCATTTTGACTTGTTATATATCGTCGTCAGCCTCACGATTTTAAAACGCGTCTTTTAGAGTTACGCAATGGAACTGGTACTAATCTAAATACCACCTTTTTGGGCTTTCCCTGTTGGGCTTCCTTTCAAAGTTTTTAGGCTTTCCCTTATGAGTTTACCTATTATACAATCCCACGTCGGTTGGAGAGGGGAATGAAACATTCCTCATACGGGTGTAGAAACGTATCTTTAGTAGACGCGTTTAAAACTGTGAGGCTAAAGACGATACGGGCTAAAACAGACAATATCTACTAGTAGTGAGCTTGAGCAGTTACAAATGATATCAGAGCCAGACAACGGGCCATGGGTGGACGTTGAGCTCTCAAGGTGGATTATGAGATCTCACATTGGTTAGAGAGAGGAGCGAAACATTCCTTATATGGGTGTGGAAACCTCTCTCTAGTATATGCGTTTTAAAACTATGAGGCTGACAACGATACGTAACGAGCCGAAGCGTACAATATTTCCTAGTAGTGAGCTTAGATAGTTGCATGAACAATTCTACCATTAGATAGTTGCATCAACAATTCTACCATGGACAATTTGTTTGTTATCTTTACAAAATTAAAATTCTGACCACTTATTAATCTAGTTGAGAAGATTATAAAAAATGATTCCTCTATCTGAAAGCAAGGACAATGAATGCCAGCCATTGTTTTGTCGGGGATCGAGCATATTCAAGTGAATTGGGACAACATCTAGAACTCAGAGTTATCAATGTCAATAAAAAGTAAAAAATAAGAGAGAGAGAGAGAGAGAGAAGGAAATGAGAATAGAATTAGAATTAGATAATAGATGTTCATACAAACATTCTCAAGCAATTGCTGAATGTAAAAGGAACACAAACTAAAAACATGCCTGTATTGTAATCATACAAAGAAGAACAAAGAAAAAGGGCGAAGGGCCAGAGTCATTTACAAATGAAGTGGCCCTTGGAAACAGCTAAATAAAGATTTACAGTGAATTCAGTCTCCAGATTTCTTGTGGACTTATGAAGCTGAACTTCTAAACAAGGTAAAACAGACAGATCAAAGAACTATCTTGTATTGAACAAAAAATATACATTCTCCTATATAAATCCCACAATTAACAACTTAAAAGAATACGGTCCCCTAATTACTACTTATTACAGCTAATATAGGCCATCATGTTCAACTTCATGCTCTCAAGAATCAGGGCTGGCAATATCCACTACCAATTTGCAAGCACCAGGGGATATACATTTATTTGGGGCTGTCATGAGTATACACTACAAGTGAGTAACTTGTCAAGGATCTGTATTAGAATTATTATTATTTAACAACAATACCACGTTATTAGTGGTGGTGGCTTTGGAGGGTGGCCTATTGATCTTCTCTAATAATCTACTGAACACTAATTTTACAGGTATGCATGCTACAGTTGGTGGCCCAGATGATTCTGGTTTCATCAATCCATTCATTTGACAAGTTACACTATCATGTATTGCCATGTTACTATGGTTCTGCTCAACGCCTATTGAAGACAAAGTTCTAGTCTTAGTCTTCTGGTTATTAGATGATATGCTTACTTTCTTTACCATCTTTCTTGGGAGCCTTCTCTCATGAGAAGAAGAAGAAGCTCGGGGAATTTGTGGTTGGCCCCTCCCCTGCCCCGCGCCTGTCTTGTGACTGTTGACCCCGGTTTTCACTCTTTTGCACCTTGTTTTCCTTTCTTGATCACCAAAAGGAGAGTCATAGCCAGCTTCTTCACCATCCAGTACTGTTGGCAGATGAGGGCGAGGGATGCGAACGTTTGCTGTCCTCCTTGCCGTCCTCCAAGCTGGTTGAAGTGCTGTGCTTCCATCATTTTCACTGGGTCCGTTGCCTAGACCATCAGAAAGAAGCGTTTCAGAAAACCCGTCTTCGAGCGTTTCAATTTGAATTGGATGCCCGATTATAGCCTGCCCATTTAACTTGCTCATGAGTGATACTATAGGAACAGGCTCTTTCTGGTAACTTGCATGGACCTTCAGATCAACATCTATTAGTATAGTTCTTGTCCTCCCGCCAAAATGATGACGGATACCATACAAGGGATTTTTGACATCCCAATATCCTTTCAAAGCAGGCTGACCTTCCCAGTCGGGCATATAGTTTCTGGCAAGATACTGATCTTTTGAAACTCTTTTTGAGGCCAAATAATATTCCTCTTCCAATGCATCAGCATCTCCCTCCATGCTATCATCAAAATAATAATTCTTGTTATTAAGTCTTGCCTTCCCATGTACCCATAGGTGGCTTGATGGTTCATCGTCTACTCCGACAGGTCTCTTAGAAAGATTACGAACATTCCTTTTCCCCTTCAATTGCCACTTAGACACTGCTTCGTTAGTAGACACGGGTTCATGATGATACAGGTGAGACATGTCACCAGAATGCACAGAATCATCAGGCTCCTCGCTGCTCATATTTACATGCTCTTGTGCGTCCGTTCTTTCAAATGTACTCGGCTCCTTTTCTGAAGGCAAAGTGGAATCTGAAAAAACCAAATATATATGGAATAAATTAACCAACCAATAGGAACACTATACTAACTGCAAACTGATCCTACAGTTGAGAGATCTAACAATCTACAGCTCAAGGAAGGTTAACTTGTGTTTTTCATTGGCAGTAATAAGTTAAGATTGCAACCAAAGGAATGAAAGAAGGGAAAGAAAAAAACTCAATACCTCAACCAAACAAATGCTAGAAGCAAAATATACAGCGACTTTGTATATTGTATCTCAGTCATTGGAGGTGTGAAAGACCAAAATATTTAATAGGTGCCTCTAGATGGGGTATAGATCATTTTAAGAAAAAATGAGACGATACTATTCATATTAGGATAAGCACTCGAGTAAAATACATCATTGAAATCTGTAGCACACAAATTAGTAGAATGATATCCACACGAGAAACATCCATCCATATATGATATACATATACATAATTACCTGAAAGTGCAGCCGTGTCATTATCCACGTCCTGATCTGACCTGGAAGAATCAGAATCAGTCTCTGAGTCAGAAGAATCATTTTCATATGAACCAGAAGCATTTTCTTCAACCAGGGAATCAGGCCGAGAAGGCATAACCCGGGTTCCTGAATGGGGTGTTGACATCTCAACCTGACCTAGAGAAGGTTCTCTGTATTCCAATGAATCACTAGAATCAGCTGGAAGATACATACACTTGCTCCTCTTTACACGATCAATTTGCTGCATCCCTAAAGAAGAAAACACATGACGCAGTCAATCTAGCTGTGGCAGTCTACTTTGAGACCGTTCTGACATCGCTATCAATTCAATATATTAAAATTTAGCTTACCGTTTGCATCGCTATCATTTCCAATGCTACAAACACCATCACGAGGAGCCAAAGCATTGGTATCAGTTGCAAGCATTTCAGAACCATTTGAGACAACAGAAGAAGATGGAACCTTTCTTTTTGAAGGAGTAATTCTGAGCCCAAAGTCCTGCAAGCCTCTCATTCTCGGCCTTGCTTCAGAATGGTCATCCTCACCACTAAGTTGAGCTCCTTCACTTGTTTTATGACATGGATCTGTAATTTTACTGTCATAATTTACATCTACTATCTTAGAAAATTGATGTGATTCAGAATGCCCATCGTTCATATCGTCAGTTCCTATATGTTCTGAAGAAAGTATTTCCTTCTTTGCAGTGACACCGGATGATTCAATTGTCATTTGATCAGAACATAAATTAAGTTTTCCTTGCTTCTTCAGTAGCTCCTTCTCAAGTTCAAGAGCATGAAGGATGGCATCCTCCCTACGTGCATATTTCTCTCTTTTCTTTATTGGCATTCCTTGCGAGGACTCTGCCCTTTCAATACAATCATCAAACTCACCACATCGGAATGGCTTTACACGCTTGGACTTCTCTAAATTGTACCAATCCCTGAAAAGTAGATGAAGATTATATACTAATGATAACAATAATTTTATTAGAATTAAAAAATAAATAGTAAAAATAATAAATAAACAATAAAAAGAGAGGAGATGCACAAAAGCTACGTATGCAACTTTCTTGCTTATAAATGATATTGAACCCAATAAATTACCAAACGTGTGATCGGAAATCTATTTAACGGGATGAAACAGCAAAGGGATTTCCTAGATTAGAATCAGGTTTGGCTACAGTAGGTGAGGAGTAGTAACAGAACAATCTATCCATAAAAAAAGCCAGTATTCAAACTCTCTATCCTGTAGATTCTTTCATAAATCGAGAACCAATCTAAGTCATTAGAATCCCAAAATCCTCAGCCAACAATTTACCGTTCAAGCGATAGCATAAAGGCTCAGACAAAGGACTAAAAGAGGAGAATTTGGCAGCCACTGATCTTCCCAAATCCTGGAGCCAGACCTTGGCTCCTTTCCTCTAAACTGAAGGCCAAATTTGTCTTTCCAAAATTTCTGCACTTGGCTATAGCAGACCAAGGGGCTCTGGAAAGCTACCCAGAGGGACACTTTTAGCATTCCAACCCAACCAGTCCACCCTATGGATGCCAGCAACAAAAACCTTGGGCCATATTGCTGTTACTGGATTCTTCGCTTCAATTTTATGAAACACTTGTTTTCTAGGCACAAATGTTGATTGGCATGAACTTATTTGAAAAGAGGAAAACCTATCAGTGGCTATTTGGTGAGTGCACTCATTCAGCTATCTGGTTGGAAAGAAACCGCCTAACTAAGATGACACTGTTGCCTTGGCACAGAAATTAAATCTAACGAACTTCATAGGGATTGAAAGCTTGAATTTCAAGACTTTATGAAATGCTAAATCCTAATTCCCACTAAGAACAAGCAACTAAGTTTTTACACCATCTTCTCGCACAAGGATAGATGTCTTTCACTAACACAATTGACTACAACCTAGCCTCCGCAAACTGAGACAAGCATACAACTTATTCACAACCTTTCTGGCATGCTTTTCTTCTTACTTTCCAATTTACCATAGCAAATAATGAGATGATATAGTCAGATCTCGGATACTAAGGCATGAGGTTCTATCCCTAAATATGCATTTCCGTCATCTAAAACTCAACTTGTTATTGGACGCATTGGATATTTCCCAGCTTTCTTCAGTATTCAAACTTCAAGCAAAGAAACAGAGGTAAGCCAGTATAGGTGAAGACATAAACCATTGAAACAGAGGAAGCTCACTAAACAACAAGTAGAGAATTCAAACATCGTAAGGAGGATCCTAACTTACACACTGGCATCTTCTCTTCCAAGGAGCTTGACTGGAGTTCCAGATCGAGGTGATGTAAGGTGCGAAGATGAAAGCTCGTCGGAACCCAGGATTTTACCGGGCCACCATGAACCATTCCTCCTTCGGACCCACACGATCGATCCCACAGCATAATCAACCGCACCAGATCCAGGACTCCCCATTCTCTGTCCAACTTTTTCTCTCTCTTCACCTATCTAAGCCCCTTTCTCTCACCCCCCCCCCAACCCCCTAGCTTCAGTAAAACAACACGCAATATCAGGTCAACCTCCGGCGAAGAAGAGTGAGGTTCGGAGAATGATCCGACACTGCGCGGAGATGGAGGATCCGCAGAGATCGATGCGGGTTATGATTAGGGTTTCCATTCAGATTTGGGGATTTTTCATTTCTAGGGTTCCTGATTAAAAAATCCCCCTCTACGTATCTCTTTCTACCAATTCAATCGAAAGTTTCAGATCCTTGAAGCCTCCGTTTTCTCTATCTAGAACTGGTTTTTCAGACACTCTCATGCGTAATTAGATGGAGAATCACAAAGAAAACTCTCAGGAACCGATGATTCGGGTCTGATACGATCGGGTCGGGTCGATCAGTCGGGCCAACGTGTCTTGAACGTGAATTCGATGAAAATGATGAAATAACGATTACCGGATTTGGATGTACGTGTAAATGAGTCAACGTCGAATTTTATTATTATTATTTTTTAAACTATTTTATCTTATTGTCGTTTTAGGCCCTTAATTTTAATCAAATTACCGTTTACCCCCTTCAGTTAATCTCTTGTAAATTTTTAAATTACTTGGGCCATTTTCAAATTTGAAGAAGTTAAGGGACGTTCATTTTCAATTATGTACAAAATTTATTATATAATTATAAATATTAAATTAAATACTAATTGATAATTTAATTATAGATTTTAAAATTGTATTATTTAATTTCTTTTAATTAATTTAAGTTAATTATATAATGTATTAAATTTTAAATTAATTTATATTTCTGTCTATGAAAAAAGTTTGGCCCAATTTTTGGCGGCATCGGGCCTGGGCCTTAAATCGCCTCACCGGAGACTTGCTCTCATTTGCTTCACCAGTCGGTCCGAGCGTCTCGGCTGTAGCTCGCTTCAGTTGAGATCATCTTCAAGCTCACTAGGTAAGTTCCGTCGCTTGCTCGATTCTGTCTGGTCACTATGTAAAGGAATTAGAAATAATTGAAATGCTGCTTTAACGAATTATCTTTTCCTTGTTTGCTGCTGAATCGGTGCCCCTTTATTTTTAGCTGTATACTGTACGATGATGGCGATGTTATGAATAGTGTTTGCTTTGGGCTTATTTTGTTAGTGAAGTGAAGTTGTAAGCTTCAAGGAACTGGCGTCTTTTTTATTTCGATTTTGTTTCTATATTTGTGTTTGGGTTTAGTCAGTTGTATTGAAGTGATGATATTATGGTCCAAGTTAACTTTTAGAGATCTGACGTCTGAGTTCTTCCATAAGCTAATTTTTTAGGCCTGAGTTCCTATAGAATTAGTCTGTCATCCATTTCATTTTCTTCAAGATCAGATAAATGCTTCATGTTTGGTTTAGCGAATTCTTACTTCTAAAAACGGGATAATAGTTGTGTTAGATGCTAGAACTGATTTCCATCGATTAAAATTGCAAGAAATAGGGAATAGATAAGATATGTGCCCATTCAAGAAAAGAGCTCGCTAAAGAAGCTCCTTTTGGTATTTGTAAATAGTTAGGGGAAAAGAAACGTAAATGGTGGTGGTCATCCAGTGCTTTGAAAGACTGTGGCTCTCGCTTTATTCTTCGGTGGGTTTGGTATTGGAAGAATTTAAAAGAGAAATGAGTTTTGTTATCAAAATGGCTTCTACGCTTACCAATTATGTCTCTGTTTCCTTCTTTGCTTTCATTGATTGCCCTTTATTCTTGTTGTATATAATTTGTGCCCTCGGGATTAATTGGAATTGTGTTTCATTTGTTCTGGCGGGCTTCTTTTATTTAGCTTTTTTCAGTTTCGTTGGGGTCCCCCTTTGCAGTGTTATTTATCCTCTCTGTACTTCCATATTTCTGTATGGAAGTCTTACTATAGTTATGACTTTTTTTTTTTACTATGCTTTTAGTAGTCACTATGCGAATGGAACTGCAATATTTATGTTTTTGGTTACATCTGAAGTAGGTGGGAAGTAGACATCGCTTGATGGAGGTGCCACTAAATGAAGATTCAGAGCTCCCAGCTTCCGCCGATGCCGTTCATCAACAACAGGATAATGTTCTCCCTGATACCATAAATGGCGGGTATATAAGCACATCATTTCCCTTATTTCCTGTAATTTTATTTTTAGTTCACGATGTTAGTTTGTGATCTTGTTTTCTTATATTTTTGTAGTAGCTTCTTCCAAATCGCATAGAATACTTGTTACTCTGTTTGTGAATTTACAACTGCTATGAAGTTTCAAATTGCATGTTTTTACTTGGCTTATGTTTGCACGGCTGTAATGGGAGCAGATATGGGTTACATTCAAATGGCTAGAATTCCATTTCATTTTCCAAGGACACCTTTAGCAACTCATAAAAAGTGATCTCTTTTTACCTTCAGACTTTTTGTTCTTTGATTAACTTTTTGTAGAGAGGATGATAGAGTATAGTTTTTTGAGGATCCTTAACTTTTAAGATGAGCATTTCATGTCCAGCTGTTCTGGCTTGTTTATCCAGTGAGTTATATTTATTGTTTTGTAAAAGTATTTTTGTACCTGTAATTTCCAGAACCATGGAGCAGAAGCAAGAAATCTCTGAGGTAGAAGTAAGAGGGACACTAGAAGCAATTGCATCCGCAGGGAAATTCTGGTATCTTTCTTCTCCACCTAATTTCTGTTGACGTAGGTATGAATATGAAGACGCTATATCAAAAATCTGATACAGTTCGGACTTTGGAAGTGTATGAATTTATACATCAGAATCTAAAGCACTTCGATATGTTGAATGGTTACCAAGTGCAATTTAAATAGGGAGGCCAAGGGGTTCATTGGTTGAATTCTGCTAGACTAGGTTTGTGGGAGGTTATTTTTTTAAAGAATAGGAGAATTGTTGTTCATGAAAAAACCCTTAAAATTGGAAGAATAAATCTATTGTAACAGTGTAATTTGTCCCCTTATAGAAACTTTAATTGGAGGTTTCTTTAGTATGCTCTTTTGGATGTAGGTCTACCCGTGGAACTTATGGCACACAATCAGCTACATAAAATATGAACTGTGTGGATCAGTTTAAAGTTTTCTTTTTGTTATGAACTTACAATATATATGTGTTTACGTACTTTATGTTCTCAGGCATGATTGGGAGAAATTGAAGAGCATGCTTTCCTTTCAACTGAAGCAGGTATGGGGAGGTACGCATGAATGCATTTCTTGTGTTTTTTAGCAGTGGATGTTTTAAAGTTCCTGCATAGGGGGCATGCATATCATATTTGTTGTATCCAGTTTTTTAGTGAAAATTTTGACTCTTTTTTTTCTTGCCTGCCTTTGAAGGTGCTGTCAGAATATCCTGAAGCTAAAGCGTCTGGCGAACAACAAAGTACTTTAGGAGAAACCTTCCCGGAACTGGTAAAGCGGCTGGATGAAGGTTTGTGAGCTTCTCCACTTCCTATTGTTTACTGTAGATTTATTTGAAAAACCAAGTTCGGGCAGTAAACTACACTTTGAATCATTCAAGTGGTCATGCATTTTTGGAGTCACCTATCTAGTGTATAAAATATACTACCGGTCCTTTTACTACAAAATCCAGTCGAACAGTTCTCCTAGTAATTTGAGAATACAAAAAGCTCTCCGGATTGATCTCAATAAAAGAAAGTTTCCTTTATGAGCCAGACGTAATTAAGATTTATTTTTTATTTTTATTTTTTTTTTTTTTGCAGCACTTCTTAGCTTCATTGATGGTCCTCCATTTACCCTTCAGAGGATTTGTGAGGTGATTATCCATATTCACTACAATGCAATTTCTTCCTATAAATTTTCATTTGTACTTTTTCGTTTATTAATTGTCAATGAGACTGCAAATAATTGCTTTAAAGAATGCCATTGTTACCGACCTTAGCACTCTTGTACATCTTATTTGTTAGTTCTTGTTATTCAAACATTACAAAATCTTTTGCCAAATATCGAAATTTGAAGCGACCATATCTTAATTTTTTTTTCCCCTTCCCCACTGGTCCTAATAATTTCAAAGACAGAAAAAGTTACAGTTAGAGCTTTTCTAATAGTTTCTTTTTTCTTTGCTGGTCTTTTGGGACATATTAGCATGACAAGAATTTGTATTAAATTGATTTAGCAAAATTATGATTCTCACCATTGTTTAAATATGTTCTCCAAAATTGATGACAAGACAGATCCTATTAGATGCACGTAGCATTTATCCCAATCTCTCAAAGCTTGCGCTTGCTCTGGAAAAGGTATGGAGTTTTCTTGATATTCTGTGTTTTATTTTTTTATTTTTTATTATTATTTTTTTTTTTTTGGACTCGTTTTGTATTTTATTTGGCATATCTGAATGCTGCCTGGTTTTTCTTCCTTTTTTCATTGTTCATTTAAAAATTCTCATTTGTGGCCCCTCATTGAACTGTTTATATGTAGTGTTTTATCTTCAAAGGTGATACTTATTTGTTGGTTCACTATTAATGTAAACTAAATTTCTAATTTTATAAAGGGGAAATATTATCGAAAATCTTTTTTGGGAGCTTTGTTTGGGTTGATTCTCTTTTATATTTAGGTCTTTTTCTTCCTCATGTATCTAACTTGTGCTTCTTCATTTCATCCACTTTTCTTACCTTGTAAAAGGAAAAGTTTTAAAGGAAGTATTACGATATTCTAATTTGTATTTAAATGTTGGTTGCATTATTATTCAATCTTAACCGTTCATATCTTGATAGCGAATGCTTAATATCATGTCTAATTATTCTAAGTTTACGTTTATAGAATCTTTTGGTGACATCCACGCTTGCCATCAGTTCTGACCCATGTTTACCGTCCCCCGACCCAAAGCCAAACGAGTTAGAAGAGCCAGAGATAGCTGTGGAAGAACAAAAGCATTTCTCCGATGTAGTAGAAAACGGAATTGAACCTATAGCTGGAGACAGGGATGAAGTAATGGCAGAGGTTGAAGAGGCCGATATGAATGATGGTATGACGATGGACATGGAAGCCTTAGTTGGATCATCTGAAACAAATTCTGCTGCGAACAATAATTCTTAGCCTTCATGACGCACCTTAAGCTGGCTGCTGTAGTTCTTCTGCTAATCTCTTTTGGGGAAGAGCCATGGCTGGTACAACATAGATCGTTCATTCCAATATTGAAGAACTATAATTGTATCCATAGTTCTTCAATATGTCAATTTCTTCATTCCAATGTAATTGCAGGGATGGTTATTTTACACTCGGGGAGTTTTGGCGGTTGGGTACAACACACATCGTTGGTACATGGAATTAGCCAACAATTATGAGCTACTGCTTTTGCTTGGATGTTTTCTTGATTAAATATGAGTGACAACCGATGTTCTTGACCTCTAAACTTTTGATATGGCACACCCCATTGGCCAATGTAAATGGTTTGCCCTCTTTGCAACTGTTGATTCCTTCTGATTTATCTAGCGCATGCAGGATAGTATGAACTTTTTCATATGGTCTTTAGATTTCTTGTGATGTTTACATATCTAGCTCAGTTTTCAAAAGATTTTAGAACTACCATCATTACAATTTATTTGGGGCACCAACTTCCTTGACCTTCCCGCATCGAGTAGGCATCAGTCTTCCATACATTTGCAAGTAATAAATTAATTGACTTGTAGGTGGCGAGATTGAACTATCGCCTGTTGGGGCACCAACTTCTTTGCCCCAACTTCCTTGACCTTCCCACACTGAGTAGGTATCAGTCTTCCATACATTTGCAAGTAATAAATTAATCGACCTGCAAGTGGCAAGATTGAACTATCGTCTGTTTGACAATCATTTATATTCATTCATATCATTCACAGTTAAAAAAGCAATGTCGAATTCTATGTGATAAATAAATCACAGTAGAAGTACTTAAAACTTTTAACATTCTTTTTTAGGCACCTGAAGATCCAATGAACCATATGCAATAACCAAGCTCCACTCGCTTGCTTATTGAAGAGGCCGTTGAGTATGCAGTGCGGCTCCTGTTGCTTTCAAAGCTGAAAGCCTTTCGTTTTCATGGCTTCTATAAATTTGCAGCCAAAGGTATAGTATCAGGGGAAGTTCACCAATGATGAAATTGTTCGAACTATTCCTACTGTAAATCACAACTAATATTCACACATCAACCGGCAATGCACTAGACCACAACTTGATCTCCCCCCCATTGGCCTAACTGTACAATTGAAGAACTATTTACACTCTCACTTCAACTACATCTCCATCTTTCAGTTCAGTACTGGGTAAGACTGGCAGACCATTAATCAAGACCAACCTCCCCTCGGATCCAACCCTTCTAGCGGCGTCCGCGGCGGTGCTACCAGATCTTAACCTCATTATCTCTCCGAGGGGCCAGCAAACAATTACCACTTCCTCGAGCGCGAAGGAGCTTCGACAAACATAATATTCTCCTCCGTGTTTTGCTTGTTGGAGATTACTAGCTTCACAAAGTAGTTGCTCCTCCCATTGAAGCATTGTCCTTAGAAAATGTACCTGAATAAGTTCTAAACATTATATCACTACCCTTCAATACTTCCGTATGTAATCACAATTTTATGAAAATTTAATTTTTCTTTCTGTTCATGCAGTTGTAAGGTGGGTGGATGTTGCAAAAATAGGATTCTGTGATTAAATTACATGATGTACTTTGCAGATCTTTCAAAAGGTTTTCCAAACAGGTATATGACAGTAAAAATGGTTTTGACTAGTGATTAGAACAAAACCTTTGTATTGATGCTAGCGTCCGGGGAAATTGATGCGACTGAGACTGAACTTGTCCGAGACGAAGTAGAGTCAATCTGTTTGCCCTCAGAAATGGCAGACATTATAGCCCAATATTCGGATTCTTCCCTTTCTGTAAAATCAATGACCTGAATGAAGGTTGGAAGTAGCCGACCAAATTGATCTTGCTGCATGAGAAGGCAGAAACCAATCATTATGAACTAGTCAAAGCAGTGTCTAACAAAACCGGTAAAGTAACATATTAGATTCTCATGATCCAAGTTTTGACTTTCTGTGCTGGAATAGCAGCAGCAATCAGATGAAAGCTGATATCAGAAGTAAAAACCCATAAATCTTAATGCATACCTTATGGTAAATACCATCCCGACAGAGCGTATACCGCTCTAGACAAGTACACCAATCCCCATGACCTGGTTCACACCACCATTCATCAGATACCTGGAAATGAATCAGCAGCAGCACTGGAACAAATCTCAATCTGAATAAAAATTTTGAGAAAAGAATTCCATACAGGATTGAACATTTTATGGTGTGCTTTAAGTTGTGTGTAAAGTGGACCATTAGATCAACAGTTATAGTGTGCTTGTATTTGAATCTGGTCGGTCTTGCTTTCAGTTCATATTACATTCAGACGTTTAATACTCCTCCGACCAAATCATCATAAAAGTTCCCAGAAATATTATTTTCCTGATCAAACTTTAATTGCGGCTCACGAACTTCTCCCCATTATTATGTTCTGAATTATCTGGAAAGTCAAGGAACCAAACCTTTTTGTATAACCTAGCATAAGCCTCCCAACGCTTTATTTGGAACGTAGATCTTCGGTCAGCCACCGCTTCAGAAGCTCCAAGTCCAAAGCTCACAGCAACAAGCAGTTCCCTTCCGTCCTCATCCACTCTGCAAATACATTATCAGATGTAAACGTAACTTATTGAATTGTTTGCTGTAGCATAAAACTAGATTAAGGGGCATACCTGATGATAACAGCAGCAAGCAAGTGGCTTCCTTCCACTCTAAGAACCGGATGGCCAGCTTTGAGAAAACCATACTTACGAGAATAATCTCCAATGGAATTCTGGAACTCTGAATCGGAGAAACACCGGGATACATCTCTTTCAGATTCATTTTTGCTGCTTGATGACGGGATTTTGTTTCCATTTTCTTTGTAAAGCCAATGTGCAGCAAGCCCATGTTCAGCATATTCATGCATCCTCTAAAAGAGTAAGTAAAAATTAAATGATCAAAATGAAGACTGATAAGAAACTCACAAACTATATCACGAAAGAAGTTTAATACCTGCGTTCTTATTTGAACTTCCAAAGGCGAGTTATCCGGACCTATTACTGCAGTGTGCAGAGACTGAAATCATAAATTGGAAGTTATGCAGAGGCCACGAATAAATCAGGACTACATGTCAGAGAGAAAAAAAAAATTCTTAAATTAAGTGATTTCAATTCATGTGAACCATTATCTACCCACACAGTTGTAAATTATTATTAACAATATGCAGAGAACAAACTTAATATAAACTCTTTACTCTTTTGACCAATTGGAGAAATCTTTTGTACCATCATTGGTTTGGGCTATACCCTTCATTTGTAAAATTCATACACATATGAAATTCGACTCTTATCAGAAAAAAAAGGGGCAGCTTAATATATTTCAATTCCCAAATTTTAGTAGTTTTTAAATTTATTTTGAGTAACATTTCCTTCGTACATGGTAAAGGGTGCAAAACTAACAGGAATTAAACTCATTCTAGTTTATGCACCATAAGAACTTTTTGTAAATTCCTTCGAGTTTTGGATTGAACCTTTTCTCACTACATTCATCTATGAAATTAATTTCTTATTATATATTATTATAGTTTTTTAATTAAAAAAAAATCAAGTATAATGTCTAAAAAAGACCTTTATCCTTTTGGGATTCTTCCTCGTCCAAATGATTCAAGATATTGGCCTGGTAACTGCTAAAGGGTGGCCACGAGGTAATGAAATAAGGACTTTCAAGATATTGACCTTTATACTTTTTGTAAATTCAAGAATCTTTTATGTCCAATTGAGTTAATCACGAAAGTTTGACCTCTTCCATAATATCTAAGAAAATTGGGACCTACTCCTTCAATGCTTTTTCAAAATGCATATTCCAAAAGAACTTTGTTTAATAGTGTACTTTGTTGAATCTACTTTAAACACTAAAACATATTGACATTGCTAAGGTGAGATACAGGCTTTTGTTTGGTAATCAAGCACTAATCATAAGGAAGATGACTTCATTAACAACAAAATAGCATAAACTATCAGTTTGGATTGCATATGATAGGAATTGTAATTCGTCATGAAATGGTTTTTTTTTTTTTTTTTTTT